TTTTAAAATAGTAATAATTTTTTACATTTTAAAAATCATACTCTGCTTAACAATACTCGAAGGTGGGCTTTATGAGAAATTTTCGAAGCACACAACTAAGTTAGCAATCATCTTTTAGTGTTTTAAGGGGTTTGGAATGCACAAGACAGAAATTAATTTATTATATTCATCCTTTCAATTACTTAATTCCAAAAGTATAGACTGATTCATGTTAAGTATATATTGTAATTATTTTAGCTTCTTTTGAGAGGACATTTTTGTCCATTTTTGTTCTATTCAAACTTACAGAGTAAGCACGAAAAATACACTTCCATGTATTTCGCTTCAAGAAAGGAGTAAGTTTAGGTGATCTCATGCAAAATTTTTAAAGGAAGTCTGTTCAGTGCTACTGTAGGAGGAAGAAGCAAGGGAGGATGCTTGGAGACAGGAGGAGGCTTCCCATTTTTAATGGGAATTTTCCATTTTTAATGGAATGGCTTCACATTTTTAATACTTAAGTGACAGGACAAGGGGTAATGGTTTTAAATTGAAAGAGGGGAGATTTAGATTAGATCTTAGGAAGAAATTCTTTCCTGTGAGGGTGGTGAGGCACTGGAACAGGTTGCCCAGAGAAGCTGTGGCTGCCCCATCCCTGGAGGGGTTCAAGGCCAGGCTGGATGGGGCTTGGAGCAACCTGGTCTGGTGGGAGGGGTCCCTGCCCATGGCAGGGGGGTTGGAACTAGATGACCTTCAGGGTCCCTTCCAACTCTAACCATTCTATGATTCTATTTCCTCTTTATATCTACTAGGGAGGCCTTAACAAGAAGCGTACTGACATGATCACTGAAATTTTTTCTTTACATGTTTATTTTTTTTAAAACTTTCATATTTAGGATAAAATGACTTATTACTTTCCCTGCATTTCCTGAAAGATATTTTTTTCTTTTTAAACATCCTCACAGCAGATGAGAGTCATGCACTAGAAGCATAAACATGAAGTAAACTTTTGTTGCACTTTACCATGTGATTCTATTCTGGGATAATGATTTTATCTGTTATCATTCCTTTTAAACTTTATTTACTTCAGTATTATTAGAGTGGTTTTGTGGAGGACTACTTATCTATCAGGCTCCCTTTGCTATTCTCCTTTCCAGTACACTTATCAGCTGACATCTTGTTCTTATTTATACACTAAAACATTTTTATTGCCAAACCTTCTCTTTCAGTACGCATGCCTGACTTCCCCTAAACAAAGGGGCTAGATTATGAGTGAAATAATGTATGTCAAAATAGTGATCGATTGACAGGATTAGAACATATAGCACAAATCTGTACAACTGTGAAAATCATGGACTTAAACAGGAAAAAATTAAAACAAAATATAACTCTTGCAAAAGCATTGAAAGTAAAAGATTAAGAGTGAAGAACATTTTTATTCTGCAGATGGGACTTAATTTATTCCATTTTTCAAAACCACAATGAAATTCTGTAAGCAAAATACTTGTTTCGCAGGACAGAAATGAAAATATATGTGCAAAATCACAAAGAATCCAATAAAAAGTCTAAATAATGTATTTTAGGTTTTCAGGGGTAGATTTATCCTTTAATAATCTACACTGATCATACTGACTTTTGCTCAAATTCTAATGGATTTTCAGCAGCATGTCCAGCTGATTAGATACAATTCACCATATGTTTTGGCCAATTGCTTATTTAAGATGTTATTTAAAATTCATTAGAAATTCTGTAACATTTCCAGATACTGAAAGAGAAATCGATTCAGATCTAACACAAACCTAGTCTGGACACACAGTTCTATAGTGGCTACCAGCAGATACCATGAAAAGGCAGTAAAGTAGGCTAATGTATAGGCAGCATTTCTTTACAGTTCCTGAATAATAATAGTCATAATATGTGAACTCTGTTCTACAGATTATTTCTTTACCTTGCCAGATAGCAAAATACACTACCTAGAAAAAAAAATCAACTGATAAAAAATGCATCAGATCTCAGAGAGTAACAGAAATGTACTGAATGAAAGGAAATTGAAGTGTAATTCCTGAAATATTCCTATCTTGCCACTATACATGTGATAGTAATCGGCACAGAAAAGAAGTCACTGTTACTGACTTCACTGTTTCTTTGGACAAATGTTGCCTTCTGTTGAAGTGATAAAGTCTGCTTTCCCTTCTCAGTGAAACCAGAACATTTCAAATATCAAATTTTCCCATCGGGGATCTTCTCGTTTCCTCCACTTCCCTTGCTATAGCAGATACTACCCACTCCATACTTCACTCAGCAGCCACTTGGCATCATTCCTCTGCATGAGATCCTTTGGCAGAATCACATACATGAAGTCATCCTTTCTACACAATCTCAACAGCAGTTGTGATGAAAAGATGGCAGAGACAGATAATGAAGACAGCTTTTTAATGGGTCTGAAAGACTCACAATTTTTCAATATTAAATCTGTGGATTCTAAAATGATACCAACCTACACTGAGGGAGATTATGAGTTATAAATCATAATCAAGGAAATGAGAAAAGTAGATGACTACCAAGATGAATGTTGGCATCCAGATGCTATATCAACATTATCTGTTGTTTCCAAAGCTTTAATACTGCAGCAATACAAATCAGATTTATGGAAAGTGGCGCATCATGTATGTGACCTGAAACACTAAAGAATTCCTGAAAAAAAAAAACCCCACATATTGGCTTTCATCATGCCAGTAAGACAAGTTCAGTATTGCTCAAGTATTGCTCAAGCGGCTCATCACTGAGACAGATAATGGTACCAAACATTAATTGCAATAACTCTTTTAGCAATTTCTCCCCAAGTCTCTCAGATGTAAAACAACTTTCCCAAAACAAGCCTAAATTAGAATCATTAACAAGCAGAGAATAAGAATAAGCTTCGCCAATTCGGTGTTTCTCATTTTCATTCTCTGGTCAGACTGAAGAGACTTTTTAAATCATGACAGATCGGTTATTTTCCAAATATATGAGAGTACTTACCTGCTGTAAAGCTTTAGAGCTGTCTTTTCTGCTTTCAGTCTCAAAAAGAATTAGAAGCCTCCTTTTGCTAGTTTAATACCCGTTTTGGGAAGACGTTTCCCTTAGACATCTGCCACTAACTGCCACAAAGACTTGTACAACAATCCAAAGGCAAAACAGTAACTTTCTTTTCTAATATAAGACTAACCTAAATCCCCTCTGCCTTTTTCCTGCGGAAGCAGGCAAATAGTAAACAGAAGGAGGATCCTGCTTGGTTGCCTCATTTGCAAAACCAGTATAAAAGCAAAAGGAAGTTTCCAAAGTAATTGCTGTGTTAAAAGCAGTTGTCAAGGCTAAAAGCCAGATGTGGCTTCAGAAGACTGTTTGTAAACTCTGAAGCACTTTGTTCAGTAGGTCAGGATGTACGAGGCTGAGATGTAAAAAGTGTGGTTTTGTTTAAACTTAATACAAATACAAGGCTCCTCTTTAAACTTTGAAAGAAAGTTAGCTTACTGGCTGCCTATAAACTTTATATACCAGTCCAGAGTGCAGGGCTTGGAGAAAACACAGCCAGCTTTTACGTTTTATGCGAAAATACAAGAAATATTTTGCTTTAGCACAATGAAATGCCTGTTATTAGACAGACATAATCTGTTACTAGATTTTTGTGGTAGTGGCCTTATCTGTTATTAAATATATTTAGTGCTTTATAACATAGTCTAAATTCGGAAGATTCTGCATTATTTTTTCTGTCTTTTAGACCACATTTAACACAAAAGGCTTTGTCTACCTAATCAACAAAATCAAACAAGAACATCCATTATTATTTCTGTTTAAATTCAGCTACCCTTGCAGAAACAGACAAAACAGCCTGTGAACACAAAAAATTCTCATTGCAACTGTTTAGATTAAAATATAACTCTTCTCTGTCATTACCAAAGTTTTGTTTTCATGTCACAGATTTCTAATCTGCAAATATGATTACCTTTAAACCTATCTAAAAGTTACTAGCTGGCTATTATTATACTCTTTTTCTAAAAGCATCCCAGGATATGAAGTCTCGGAGAGCAAATCAACCTGCTACCTGTGTTGCAGAGCCCTGTAGTAATGATAAGTGTGACTGAGAGAACAAGCTCTACAACAGTTACATGACTCTTGTGAAATACGCATTCAATGTAAAATCACAAAATGCCACAGGCAAAATGGATGAGAGAATGGTACAATGGCTTACTGAAGAGTATACTGTATCTAATGCACAGAATCTTAAAGCAATTTAAGCCTTTCTAGATTTGTAGCATGGGATTATTCATGCCTTTATTTGCTCAAAATCAAAGAATTGCTGGTAAAAAACAAAAAAAAAGTGCTACATAGTACACTATTTCCAGTGTTTGAAGAAGACAATTAGTCAGAACTTCTTGAGGTTAGGTCATTTGTCCTACATTTACATGCAATTACGCTTAATAGAAAGGAGAATTAAGGGTCTCCCAGTCTAGAGAGAGAACAAAAAGAATACGTGTTTTGAACTGAAAATCAGGTATAATTCTTTGGCATTATAGTGGATGAACTGCTGTAGAAAATGCATTGTGATGAACACCGTGATGAGGTAATTACTAAGCAAGATAACATGTCAGTATTATCTGGTGAGATGGCTTTCCCAATGCTTTAGTTGCGGCTCCTGATAATACTCCTACACTCTCCTATACATTTAGTGAATTTTGTTTTTCATTCAAGACATCTAGCTATCATTTGGATTTTCCTTACAAGGAGATTCCTACACTTTAGATCACTCTCAACTACTACATTTGCTACGTGAATTTAGTTCTTCTAAACTCTCCTAATTTTTTTGAGGTCTCCCAGCTGACATGAATTTCCCTCCATGATGGGAATCTTACGTCCTAAATTCTGTGCAACATACATTTTTTGAAAGAAGGCTACTGCCTCTTAGATGAGTCGATGCGAATCATTACAATCATTGATTCTATGGTGTAGGTGTTCTTTTTGGTGTAGGAAGGCCAAACTGCTACCTGATCATTCCCAGGCACAGCCACAGTTGCTAATCCATCGATGACTCTCGGGTGTCTGCTGATGGATTCTCCTCCTTCCCCCTTCAAAACAAGTTTAAAGACCATTTGATGAGCCCTGCCAACTCCTGCGCAAAGGCCTTCTTCCCCTTTTGAGACAGGTGTACCCCATCTGTCTCCAGCAGGCCTGGTGCTCAAAAAAACCCAAAGTTGTGCCTCTGACACCAGGCTCGGAGCCAGGTATTGATCTGCTGGCTCTTCTTGTTACTTTCCTCTTCCTCCCCTGTGACTGGGATGACAGAGGAGAACACTACCTGCACACCTGACCCCTTGACCAGTTGTCCCAAGGCTGGAAGTCTCTTTTGACCGCCCTTGGGTTTCTTGTTAACAGCTCATCTCTGCCTGCCTAAAAAATGAGTAAGGGGTAATAATCTGAGGGGTTTACCAGGGAGGGAAGTTTTCTTTTTATGTCTTTAGCCTGGGCCCCAGGGAGGCGGCAGACTTCCCTGAGAAGTGGGTCGGGTCTGCACATCGGGCCTTCCGCTCCCTTCAGGATGGAGCCTACAACAATGACCCGTCTTTTTTTCTGATGTTTTGATGCTGGGTTTAGTCTGACTTAACCCTGGCAACACCTCCGTAGACACCGAGTTATCCTCGTCATTGTGACTGGGTTCCCTTTGCAGAGCCTCACATCTGTTTTTTTAAGGGTAGCTGGGGAGCTGAGGGAGTTACTGGGGAGACACATCTGCTTCATCGGGCAGGAACTTGTTGCCACAGCCCCCTATCCTCTAAGTTACCTTGCTCAGCCTGGCAGAGAGAGGACAGGGAGTCTGGCCGCTTCTCCCGGCTTCCAAAAACCTCAAAAAATGAACCCCTTGCCGGCTTCTCCTGGCCGGGATTCCCTGGCCCAGTGCGGACTCACCTGCACTCGGGCTGCTCTCCTCAGCGAGTGACCGTTGGAGCGTTTTGCACCTCGTTTAAATCTGCCACCGAGGGAGGCGGCAGACTTCCCCAAGAAGTGGGTCGGGTCTGCACATCGGGCCTTCCGCTCCCTTCAGGATGGAGCCTACAACAATGACCCGTCTTTTTTTCTCATGTTTTGATGCTGGGTTTAGTCTGACTTAGCCCTGGCAAAACCTCCGTAGACACCGAATTATCCTCGTCATTGTGACTGGGTTACCTTTGCAGAGCCTCACATCTGTTTTTTTAAGGGTAGCTGGGAGGTGAGTTACTGGGGAGACACGTCTGCTTCATCGGGCAGGAACTTGTTGCCACAGCCCCCTGGATTCTAAGTTACCTTGCTCAGCCTGGCAGAGAGAGGACAGGGAGTCTGGCAGTCTTTCTCCCTCTCACATTCCCTGATTTTCCTCAACTTGCTACCTCCTCCCTGAGCTCCATCATTAAGCGGAGGAGCTCTTCTACCCGGACACATCTCCCTCAGGTGTGCCCACCAACACCATCTGACACCGGCACAAGAGCAGGGCACACCCCACAACCCGGTGTCCGAGTGGCAGCGTGTTCCCACAGGAGCTCTGTCTGGGAAGCTGCACCAGGAGTGGTGCGTCCAGAGCGTGCGGCCGCCATGTTCCTCTGCTGTGTGGGCACCATCCCTATTCTGTGCCCAAGCTGGTACCGGCTACTGGCCTGGGATTGCCGCTTCTCCCGGCTTCCAAAAACCTCAAAAAATGAACCCCTTGCCGGCTTCTCCTGGCCGGGATTCCCTGGCCCAGTGCGGACTCACCTGCACTCGGGCTGCTCTCCTCAGCGAGTGACCGTTGGAGCGTTTTGCACCTCGTTTAAATCTGCCACCGTCCAGGAGTGGTGCGTCCAGAGCGTGCGGCCGCCATGTTCCTCTGCTGTGTGGGCACCATCCCTATTCTGTGCCCAAGCTGGTACCGGCTACTGGCCTGGGATTGCCGCTTCTCCCGGCTTCCAAAAACCTCAAAAAATGAACCCCTTGCCGGCTTCTCCTGGCCGGGATTCCCTGGCCCAGTGCGGACTCACCTGCACTCGGGCTGCTCTCCTCAGCGAGTGACCGTTGGAGCGTTTTGCACCTCGTTTAAATCTGCCACCAGCTCCACCTCTGCCCCCAGGAGCTGCCGGGCACTGGCCCGGGCTGGCCTTCCGCTCCCTTCAGGATGGAGCCTACAACAATGACCCGTCTTTTTTTCTCATGTTTTGATGCTGGGTTTAGTCTGACTTAGCCCTGGCAAAACCTCCGTAGACACCGAATTATCCTCGTCATTGTGACTGGGTTACCTTTGCAGAGCCTCACATCTGTTTTTTTAAGGGTAGCTGGGAGGTGAGTTACTGGGGAGACACGTCTGCTTCATCGGGCAGGAACTTGTTGCCACAGCCCCCTGGATTCTAAGTTACCTTGCTCAGCCTGGCAGAGAGAGGACAGGGAGTCTGGCAGTCTTTCTCCCTCTCACATTCCCTGATTTTCCTCAACTTGCTACCTCCTCCCTGAGCTCCATCATTAAGCGGAGGAGCTCTTCTACCCGGACACATCTCCCTCAGGTGTGCCCACCAACACCATCTGACACCGGCACAAGAGCAGGGCACACCCCACAACCCGGTGTCCGAGTGGCAGCGTGTTCCCACAGGAGCTCTGTCTGGGAAGCTGCACCAGGAGTGGTGCGTCCAGAGCGTGCGGCCGCCATGTTCCTCTGCTGTGTGGGCACCATCCCTATTCTGTGCCCAAGCTGGTACCGGCTACTGGCCTGGGATTGCCGCTTCTCCCGGCTTCCAAAAACCTCAAAAAATGAACCCCTTGCCGGCTTCTCCTGGCCGGGATTCCCTGGCCCAGTGCGGACTCACCTGCACTCGGGCTGCTCTCCTCAGCGAGTGACCGTTGGAGCGTTTTGCACCTCGTTTAAATCTGCCACCAGCTCCACCTCTGCCCCCAGGAGCTGCCGGGCACTGGCCCGGGCTCCCCCGTTCCCCCCAGCTTCCAAATACCCCCCAAAAACAAGGCCCTTGCCGGCTCTCCTGGCCAGGATTCCCTTGCCCAGCACAGACTCACCTGCACTCGGGCTAGTCTCTTCGGCGAGGGATATATGGCAGCCAGCTAAATTTCTTACCATGAAAAGCCTATTTATTTAAGCTGCAATTTAGCTAATTCCCTAAAAATTATATTTTTAAAATATTTAAGTACATTCCGACAATGGATACAACTTTAATAAAGTTTCGTGTCCATTACCTTTAAAGACGATTTAGCCCGAGGTTCTGTTTTCTGTCTGGTAAGCTTGTTTTGAATAAGCAATGACTGATCTGTACGAGCATCATAATTTCCGTGTTCTGAATCATCTGTGTACGTGTCTTTGTCCTTCCCTGTGTCTGAAGGAAAAACAGAAGAAAACAGTGGGCTTATTTTGGGTTATAGTTGAGAGAAATTAACACTGTTATGACAGCCACAGTTGAATATTCCTTTTAAGTATCCACTTTTCGATAACTCATATTCTATCCTTTCTTGCAAAACTTTTTGACTTGAAATGTTATCATGTTTGTCTTAAACTAGAACTGACTTCTATTTTTAGCAGAAGGCTTATAGGAACTTTCTTCTATTAATCAAATCAAATCAAAAAAGCCCACAACATTCTTCACAGTAGTTTAAAAAAAACAACACCAAAACACAAAGCGATATAAACCAAATATTCAAATGCTTTTGTGTTTGGCTCATAATTGTCAAATACTCAAAACGTGTTACCAAATAGACAGGAGCATCCTGGAGACAAGAGTAGCATCTCATGTCTTAAATTTAAATAAGCAAATCTAAATGCCCAACTCCCCTACACACACGCTGCTCATCATTAGACAGAGTATTTGAAAATTTGCATATTAAGTTATTGCAGTGATCATTTCAGAACACGTTTTAAGAGGTGTACATGATGGTGGCAGAAGATTAGTTGACAATATTAAGAAAGCGCTTTCCTTCTTCATTGCATTTGTTTTTAATTGCTCAACAAAAGTTTTTATAAAAACTTAGTTGAGTATCCTAAGATACTCACCTGCAGGTGACTGAAAAGACCTTTTTCAAAGCTTACTAAAACCCACTCTCATGATTAAATTTCCTCCTGCATCATCACTGCAGGAGAGTTAGAAGGACTTAAGTCCCCGAATCACTCTATATCTTCTATCAGAAGGGACTTTTTTCCAGACGTTTCGTTTTCTTGCAGATTCTCTACCAAAAAATCATGACAATACTTACCATTTATACTCAGCAGGAATAAAATGAGGGGTAATGCCTGTAAAACGTTGGACCATGTAAGTTTTAATGAATGCTGGGAAATGGTTAGTCTTGAAAAAAATATTTTACAGATGAAAAAGATGGAATAATTATCCCCCCACGATTGTATATTGGACAAATTGGAAATAGAAACATACTCAGACAAAAAAAGTTACCCACAAATCCTGAGCCAAGTTCTCATCTCAGCTCTCATATCAACATGGGAAAAGTCAGGGGAACGGCAAACAGCATTTAGCCCAGTAATTCTAAACCCTAAATAGAAGCCAAGAAACAAATCATGGTTGCTGTGGGAACCACAGTCTTAACTTTCCTGAATTTTATATTCATAAAAGCTCATCTGCAACAACAAAGTATTTTTCATTAAGTTCTTCAGTTAAATTCTCCACAGTAAGTAGTACCAAAAAGAACCCCAACCCACAATTATCTCATATAGCCTAGATGTTTCTGAGATGGAATATTAAACTGGAACATTTACCAAGAGCAGTTCTTCCTGCAATTTGGCTGCGTACATAATGATTACACAAAGTGAGCCCTCAGTAATTTCTGATACTGATATTAACCTCAGTAAATCTGTGAAGGGATTTCTTAAAGTATGAAATAGCCCATTTTAATTGTGAGGGCACCAGCTCAGAGATCTTAGTTATTTTGAACAATGTTTTAACCTAATATACAGGTTACTCTGTGTAATGTAAGGAATGTTGTAAAATGACTGTAAAGAAGGTTTCAAGCAGTAGGTATCCAAAGTAGGAAACAGGATACTTAAGCAACTTTACAGATTTGACTCCCACCCAGACGTGGTGAGCTCTTAGCTTTACTAAAGATCAGGGTCTTGTAATAGCAGCCAGTAAAATGAAAAGCAGAGACAGGCCTATGAAACCTAAACTTTTGCATCTAGAAAGGCCATTTACCCTGAAAAGTCTATTTTTATGAGGGAAGTTTTAGATCATCTAGAAGGCCATTTACCCTGAAAGATTCTACTCACATTAAAAAGTCTATTTTTATGAGGGAAGTTTTAGAGGATTAGACATTATGAGTACACCTAACACTCAAAAAAGAAAAAAAACCAACACCTTTGCAAAAGTACATAAAGTTTAATTTAAACAATTAAAAGTTATGAAATGAGTCTCCCCTTAGTGCTCAACATACTTTTACCTGCTAAGCATTTTTGTGTTTTCAAGGACACAACTTTTAAATTATACTATGTATTTTCTGTTAAAAAAAAAAAATAAAAATTGCCTTCCATTTAGAAATACCTGCTACCTTGTCTGAAATGTAGTCAAAAAAGAGTTTAGCAACAAAAAACCCCATAAAAATAAAGAAATTTGGAATTAAAATGGTATATTTCTTGTATAAAGTTTAACAATACTTACTATTGTACCTTTCAGGAGCTGATGACTTGTTTTCAAGAGTTTAGCAACAAAAAAACCCATAAAAATAAAGAAATTTGGAATTTAAAAGGTATATTTCTTGTTTAAAGTTTAACAATACTTTTGTACCTTTCAGGAGCTGATGACTTGTTTTATGCACCTAAAGCACTGTCCTACACAGTATCAAATGGTATCAAAAACAGGGGCAGAATGAAGATTAAAACACAGCATTTAAACATTGCACTTGAATAAGCATTTGTTACACCCATCTGAAAAAATGTCAGACTGAAAGACATAGCCTACAATTCATATTTTAAAACTATATTTAAAAGTGTGCATTTTTCTTAACATTAATGTAGTTTAAACATTCATGTCAACAAAACACCTACAGCACGCTTTGTAGATACTTTGAATAGACTAGTAGTCCCATTTACCTCTTCCGCAGCACATATTAAAACAAAATCCTTAATATAAATAATTATACTCAAAAAGAAAGTCCAGTGGATTGCATCATATTTCTGTACCATAACAGGTTAGGAAGAATAATTGCAACGTGCGTGTGTGTGTTTGGAGGGGCTCATCTTGTTAATTAAGTTGAACTTTTTGTAAATTTATTTTGAGCAGTTTTAAAATTTTTAAATAATAGAGAATGAAATATGTTTGATTAGAAAAAGATCTTGAGAGAAGCTCACAGAAATGAAACTGTGCCACTAGTAGCATTGACTATGATTTTGTATTCTTCTATGAACAGGTGCTTTTTTTTTGTAATAAGGTAATCCACTGCTGTAACAAAAGTAGAAAGTCTCTCTTCTGTAATTTTCCCACCCACCAAGCCAAAATTACATTCTCTTGAAGATAAACTTACTAGACCTAAATTAACTTGAGCTTGATCATTCCTATGATACCTAAATTAACTTGAGCTTGATCATTCCTAGTGTTACCAATGGGCACTACAATACACCGTGACCAAACTTATTAAATTCAATAACTGCAGTTTCTAAATTTTCATGATATTTTTATATAACATTTGTCTATAAAGGAACACTATTTTCTGCTATCCTTTTCTCCACAATCTCTATTATTTAGGTTTGAATTTTAACTGCCATTTGGGATTGCCACAAGCAAAAGCAAGATAGCATTCCTGAATCTTGTGGCTGGAGTTGTACTGCCCAAGGATGTTTTTAATGTAACATACCCCAAAAGCAACGATATGGACTAACAGCCTTTCTATTTGACTTGTATTAAAACTATCCATCTTTAAATTCAAACACGGAGTATTTATTTGGCTGCAGCTCCACAAAACGTCAAGAGAAAAGCTTGGCTGCCTCCAGTTCTTTCCCTCTGCTCTGTGGGAAAGCTACTGTTTGCTTCATTTTTTATTTCCCATCATCCCTTCTCTGGCCTATAACAACTCATTTGGTTGTTATTGTCGAGAACAACTGCCAGCTCTCCCTGCTCTTGTAGTTCTTGGATGGGCTCTAATGCCAACCACCACAACGAGCCTGCTTGACTTTGGGAGGGGGAGGGTGTAGGCAAGAAGCCATAGGAGAATAAAAAAACCCTCAAAACCAGTTCATATTGCTCTAGAAGCTCAGGCTTTTACACCAATTAACAGAAAGATGGCTCCTTAACAGATCACAGATCATTGCTCGCCTCCCCAAGCACATGTTCTCTTCTTTGCTGTTAATAAGTGCTGCCCCACCTGTGCCTTACTGGGACATCTGAAAGACATGAGCCAGGAGTCCCATTCCTATGTGCCAGGGGACTTCCAAGCGTTCATGATTTTTTAATTAAATGTGAGTTTTGGAGTGGGTTTTTTCAAAATTATTATTATTTTTTCCTCTTTTCAGAGCTAAAAAAGATCCGCAGATTCTCAGCTAAGACTAATCACTAAAATACTGTTCTACAAAGGCCGTGCAGGTTCTCAGCTAAGTCTAATCACTAAAATACTGTTCTACAAAGGCCACTGATTAATGTTTATACCTTGAAATACATCAGCTGAGCAGATATAGGGTATTTTGCTTTCAGTGTATGTTGAAATACATCAACTGAGCAGATATAGGGTATTTTGCTTTCAGTTAATCTACACTGCAGCTATTAATTCAGTAAGGTACTAGAGTGAACAGTAATTTCCAGAAAAGTATGGCAAGGAGTGTAATAAGCGTTTATGAAACACTTTTCCAATTTTCCTTTACTGTCTAAAAAATCTTTAGTCAATGTAAAAATATGGCAAGGAGCGTAATATGCATTTATGAAACACTTTTCCAATTTTCCTTTACTGCAGGATCAAATTAAAAAAAAAACAACCACAAACAAACCACAAACCAAAACTTAAATAATTTCTGTCCTGTTGGGAAGACTCTTGGCTAAAAGCAGCCCTCCTACATTAATGTTAATGGCAGATCTAGAGTTATCTGAAAAACTTTGAAACTCTGCTAAAATTTAAGAGATCTAAAGAAAAGAGGAGGAAAAAAGGAGAGAAAAAATAGCATGAGTCGTGCGTGTAAAAAAGAAAAAAGTCTTCTTCAGTGGGAGGACTGCAAATGGGAGGATGGCACTGGTCCATGTCCACAAAGCGACAAGGACATTTAAAGGACAACTGCCTTCATTCTTAACCCCTCACTTGGTTGGTTTTTTGGTGTTTTTTTTTTTTTTTGCTTTTGAGCTCCTAGTAGGATTAATTTTTTTTTTCTAGGGCTGCTCAGGCAAATTATTATTGCTAA